TATTTGTTTCTTTTGCCTACTACAGACCATTCAAAAACTCGCCTTCTGGGTGACACCAACTTCGTCTGCTGGGCTGTGAAGCGCGTTCGAGCGTGCGCAATACCTCTCTAGGCCGAAATATTGTACACTGAGTATGCGTTCACAGCTCAATGACTTAGGCATTTTTCGTCAGGATGGATGCTCCCACGAGAAGAGCGTAATGGATATGTGAATAGAATTGGAAATTTGAAATGTTCTTGTCCAATCGCATTTTTCTTTGGTTATCAACGCTTTTTAGCGTCATCACAAGACGTTCAACCCATAATACACTGGTGATTAAAAAATAAGCACCGAAAAACATGCACCGATTTTCGCTCAAAAATAAACACCGGAAAAAACATACCGTAATCATTACCCATGTCACCTTTTTGGGTGATATGTGAATTTCCAGAAGAACAGCCCCTAGGAATACCCTGACTACAGAGCAGGCGACCCGTTTTTCCCCGCGTTAGATTGCGGTGACCACGAATCGTACGGAGGTCACAGGACGTCCGTGAAAAATAAAAGGGACGCAAACAACGATCTACTCTGTGCACGCTTCATCCCCGATTTCCACGACCCCAAGGCCGAAGGACGTTTGTGTGAAGGATAACGATAAAATAAAACTTTGCGTAAAAAAAAAAAAAGCCCGTTTTTAAAAGAAAAAAAAAGTAGAAACAAGCACAACGCGCTGACGGACCGCGAGGTTGTGGAACACCTCGCGGTCCGCTTGCCACAGGACGGTTGTCTTCGACCCATAGCTCCAAGGTGAATTTGCCTGGGACCGGACATTTCATCGAACGCCGTTTCGTCGAACGCCGTTTCATCGAATGCCGTTTCATCGAACGCCGTTTCATCGAACACCGTTTCATCGAAGCCGTTTCATCGAACGCCGTCTTATCGAACGCCGTCTTATCGAACGCCAGGGTGGCATTCCCGCTTCTTGAAGCTGGTCGGAGGTGCCCATTTCGGGTTCTGGAAGTTTTTAACTTGCATCGCCGCTGAACATCAACTGAAGGAAGACAAGCTGGAGGCGATGCTGAGTTCCCAAGAGCCTCGTCGCCAGAAGAAGGCCATAGTGGCAAGAAATGAAAGGGTCCGCCTTTTTTATGAGAACCGACGGAGCAAGGCTGCGGGGGACTTCTTGAGAGCAATTGCTTATCATTTGAAACAGTGAATGGCTGTCGCACGAACACATGAACCCCCGAAAGTTTTCAATTAAAATCTGAAGTGACTTATGTAATGTCCTCGACAAAGGACCCTTAAGGATTAATAAATGAACAATGAACATGAATGAACTTACTTTTGACTCCGTTAAGTCTTAGAACCAAAAAAAGAAAAAACAACAATGTTTCGTTGTAGTTTCATAAATAGCACCTCAGCTTTAGGTGCTGCAAGCTACGGGCAGCAAAAAAGTATCAATAGAAAGACATGAGAGGCTAGGAGGCTCACATGGCTAAAGTTGTTGCGCCTGAGCAAAACCTAAATCGCCTTCTGGTCTCCATGAGATGGGAGTGCGCTCTTACCGGGGGGAGGGCGACTTTTTATTTATTTGTTAAAATACCCTCAAGGCCCATCGGGTAATACAGAGGAGGTCAACAGTAACCACTATATGCGAAACAAACATAAAAAATGGGTACAAATATCCTCATGAGTTACTTGCATCAAAAAAAAAATTGTAACAGCTACAAGTTTGGAAATTAAAAAAACCTGACGATGAAATGGGTGAATGACTCGAAAATGCACTCGATCCGTGCATAAAAGAGCATCTTTCACACTCTTTATTTAAAAGACATTCGATGAAACGGCCGTCAGCGATTCGATGAAACGGCGTTCGATGAAACGGCGTTCGATGAAACGGCGTTCGATGAAATGTCCGGGAACCGAATTTGCCACTTGCGAAAACACGGAGACCTACCCAGCGAGAACCACGAAAGCAAGACACGCACACTGACGCCTCGGCGTGCAGAATGAAACAGGATACGGGCGCGGAATACGGTCGCGGAAGAACACCTCGCACAGTGCCGATCCGGCCGATCTCCGAACGGACGATTTCGCATTTCGTGGACAGCGAGCGCCACCGCACGGGAGAGAGAGGTACCTTAAAAACGACGAAAACAACCACCGACACCTTAGTTCTTTATATTTGCTGTAGTTACGGAACAAATCGACTTACACGAATAATTTGAATATTATTCGATTCCGTAATAAATTTAGAAGACATTAAACGCAATACTTCTTATGTTTGAATTTAGATAATTTTGTAAATTCGCTCCGAACGCAAGAGTCCCGAATTAGCCGATTTTGACCATTTTCATGATTTTTTAAAGAATATAATTAAATTTATGATGAAACATTTGTTGCGCTTAGTGACTCGATAATGACTCAATGTCTTTAAAGCCGAAATTTTCAAGAAGATCCGCGCAGCCGTTATTATGTGAGAATTTTTTTAATTTGGTGAAAAACCTCATGTATTCTCTATGGGGCTCTGAGGTGCGCCCCCTCTTAAGTGCGCAAATTCAGACCAAGTCGCCACATTTCTCTTGCACAACATCATTTTGCGACACGGCCCCCCTCGTCACATACTCAGCGATCGAGGAACAGTATTTCTTTCCCAGGTGGTACAAAACTATTACATCTTTGTGGAACCATTCATAGACCCACAACATTCACAAACAAATTGCTTGGTGGAACGTTTCAATCGCACCATAGCCGATATAATTTCCATGTATGTCCACTGTCCAGTCTGACCAACGCCAACGGGAGGCTGTTCTTCCGTTCGTGACTTACGCATACAACACTGCTGTTCAAGACACTCACGGCTATTCTCCATTTTATCTTCTCCATAATCGCCCTCCAACCACATTCTTGGACACGCTCCTACCTTACCGTCAAAATGACGAACTTCCCGACATTGTAGCACATATCGCGTGCTGAAGAAGCGCGCCAACTTGCCCGGCTACGCACACGTACATCCCAGCGACGCCAATGCCCACGGTATAACAAGACTCACCGTCCCGTTTCATATGAAATAGGCAACCTTGTCTTACTCTGGACGCCTGAACATCACCAGGGCTTGGCTACCAAGTTCTTCCACCGCTACATCGGCCCTTACGCAGCCGTGCGCAAACTGTCCTCCCTTTCATACATCGTGAAACAACAGCAAGACACTACTGACCGACACCGAGCAACCTCCAATGTAGTCCACGTCGTCCGCATGAGGCCCTACACCCTCCACCCACCACACAAAACCACCGCCACCCTCGTTACTATAAAAAAAGGCTTATTGCGGTTGGGATGACTGTGAAAAAAAAAAAGGGGGGGGGGGGGGTAATGAGAAGAAAAAGAGCCCGCCAGAAAAATGGCTAGGACGCGCGACAGCCCGAGCTGAGCCGGGCAGCACGAAATAGAAGTTGACCGCCAGAGATTGCCTCCAGGGGTGCTATGTTGCACTTTTTGAACTCCCAGGAGACTAGGGAGAAGGAAGTGACGTCAACAACGCAGCAAATGCAGATTGGATGTTGATTTTGTTTTCTTCTGTCAACATCCAATCTGCGTTTGCTGTATCGTTGACGTCACTTCCTTCTCCCTAGTCTCCTGGGAGTCCAAAACGTGCAACATAGCCCAAAAATTGTAAGGGTACAGGCGAGCTGGTGGAAGTTAACCATAGTTTTGTTTAACCCGAGACTGGGGTATTTCGGAAAAGGGACGAGAAGAAAAGAGGCGTCGCCTCCTTGTGGCCTCTTTTCTTCTCGTCCCTTTTCCGAAATACCCCAGTCTCGGGTTAAACAAAACTATGGTCAACATAGCCCCCCTGGACTACTCCTTCAGCGACAACATCGTAACAATATGTATATATGTATATATATAGAGAGAGAGACAGAGAGAGAGCGATAGAAACCTGGATATATAGACCTTTCCAAAAAGAGCTCTCTGGCCGCCGCCATTTTGCGAACCGAGCGACCCATATCAGCCAGAAATTTCTGCCACCTGCCTGAGCTGTAAAAATCCGGTCAGCGTGACTCCCCAGGTGCATTGTGCATTCGGAGTTCGCCGGCTCTTCTTGGAAATTTTTACTTTATTTGCCTGTTTAGGATGCTTACCTTTTCTGTGTTATCTTCCACTGTGAGAAGCAGGGAATACCTAGGGTGCCTTCATGTGCGCTAAATGGAAAGGGTGACCAAATAAACTTGTCTTTAGCCGTGTTAGAGACCTGTCTTCGACTGTTCATTTTTCTTCTACTTTGAAACTTTCCTCTTTTCCTGCCTCAGTCTCGGGCTAAGAACAAAATGGATACAAAACGAGTCTTTTCCGTTTGTTTTTACACAAAAACAGGCTTTCTAAAAGCTCGAGGTGACCACACTACAGACAAATGATAAAGAGTGGCACTGTTGTCGTATTTAGCACGATCTCGGTGGACGCCAGCGGCCCAGGTTTCGACGGAGAGTTTCCCAATTGAGTGTTTTAGTAACGTTGCCACAACTCCTGCAAAAGAAGCAGACGAACAAATGCGTTCAGCAAACACCCGTTGCTCTTGGGAAGGGGGCGCGACCGCGTCAGCAAGACGCGACCATGTTATGCTGGCAGCACTATCCAGGTGGCGCTGTAACGCTCGATTTTGCACGTGCCACGTTCGAATGCAAGCATCTGTCAGCATCTATAGACGCGCGATAACAAAAAGTGTAAAAACATTAAATAAAAACGAATTATGCAGCTCGCGGCCTCGGTGGTCCAGTCAGCTTTATTATTTCATTGCGTTCTTTCATAGCTTCCGTGAGCCCGTATGTTTCAGTTTACATGATAGCGAAGCCGAAGCTACTTGCAAAGACGTGTTCCCCTGAGCGATGCTGGCACTGCACGAGCGCGCGTGCTTGGAAGGGACACTGCAAGCTCGGAGCTCGCTCTTGTTGCCTATACTACGCTGGCACTTAGAATGGAACGGAGTATAAAAAAACTGTAGTGGGGGAAGCGTGATGACGCACGTTCGAAACGCGAGCCAAATATTCTATTGCGCTCGCCTGGAGCGCTGCTCAAAACTTGAGAGCTACGGGCACTCTATAGTGATGACGTACGAGAGAGAAACGGGCTTGCCTTGTCTTTTATGTAACCGCGCCCCAGATGACACGTGACACCTCTTCATTTCCGTCAACCGTCGGTGGCCGCGGCACTGGCGTCGCTGCCAGTACTGCCCTCTATGCTCTGCTTGCCGCTGGCGAAGTCATCGCTAGGTCGTCTGGTCCGGTCCTGGTTGGACGTCGCCGCGTCGTCTCCGATGGCCAGCGATTCCACTGCCTGTTGCCGCTTCAGTTCGCGCAGGCCGCTCGTCTCGCGGGAGCCGTCCTGAGAACCGCTGCTGCCTCCGCTGCGCTGCTCTTCGGCGCCACTGCCATCCTTTGTAAAACGTGCTGAGCGTGAGAAAGAGTAGCGGACAGTCCAGGACCATAGCGGTGGCCACGAACAATCAGAGCCAGTTGATAGTTGAGAACGAGCCTCGTGGCCACTCGTGGCCTTCCGGTTGGGCGTCAAGCTCCCTGATGCGTTTGTGTGGCAAGTACACATGCACCAATGCACGAGGCGTGTACCTCGTGATGCCATTGGAAGCTTAACTGGCGGCGAAGCACTAAAATAGGCTGCAAGCAAGTCGACTGACCGCCGTCTCTGCTGGTGCGGACAAGCCCATGGAAGTGCAAGCTCGCCAAAGCTATACGGAGAGAAAGACGTCTGTTTCTCGCGCAGGAGTTGCAGTGACGTCAGAAAGACGCCGAGTTCTGATTGGTTCTGATTGAAGGATAGTGGGTGGACCTCAAAGGAAACTGCCTGGAGGTCTACCCACTGTCCGTCAATTCAGAACATAGTCGAAGCTCGGTGTTCTGACGTCACCGGCGCTCTGAAGCAAAAGAAGCAGACGAACTCGCGCTCCGCATAGGTTCACGCGTAAGCTGCACATGCTTGCACGAGCAAATGGCGGCAGTGCACCCGTTCGTGGTATGTGCCTTGCACGTTCGGAGAACTGATTGGGGGGTATTAGCGGCGAGATGTTTCGGTGGTGACCTTGTTTGGTTACCTTTCGTGACGTCATTACCTTGCGAACAACAAGTTCGATGGTGTTTGTAAAGGGCATGGTGAAAGCATGAAATCATAGCGCTCTCACAGCAACACTGCCAACACCGTCAAAATTGAAGTTCTTACATTCCTCTTATTTCCGTCGATGAGACATCCTTTACTGACGTCATAGTCAGCATATGGCCAATTGTGGTGGGCCGACCACGGCGAAGTTTTCGATCGCTCACGTCGCCAATAGGCGATTGCAAGCAGGGCCTTTGGCCGCCGCCCCGTCTCTGCACGTGCGGGTAAGCCCATGCAATTGCGAGCCTGTCAAGGCCAGGTTCACGCAAACGCTTCGCGTGGTGGCCATCGAGCACCAGTCGGGGCACTAAGCTCGAAATTGTTTATTCGCGGTGGAAGGCTCGCTAAGGGCGCTGCTGTTTTCTTCACTATAAGTAGTGCATGTGCTACCCACGCGGTTATGTTTTAATTTTCACACTGTATAGATGCTTGACATTGCACGTGCTTGCACCAGCAGAGGAAGTTGAAGTATCCTCACTCCGGGGTGAAAACTATTCCACCAGCCGGCGATACCCAAACTTCTCGCCCCAAATAAAGAAACGCGAAGCGTGAATTTTAACAAAGGGCTCTATACTCTGTTTCACCTTGTGTTGTACCGCAGGAAAGGCTACAAGCGCGAGCTCCTTGCTCTAGGGCACATCGCGGCGGCACAAGCTCTGTGCACCAAGGGCAGCTGCCAACGCTATGAGCTCGCGCTCTTAGCCTTCGCTGCGGTACAACATAAGGTGAAACGGAGTATAATTAGCTGCTCTGCCTCGAGCTCGAGCTTCCTGCTTGCCGCACGTGCGGTAAAAGTTTATAGTCCGTTCTCCCTAAAGATGAGACGAGATGCTCCGCCTTCAGCGCGAGCTCGCTGGCTTCCGCAGTGCTTTGGTTGCGCGTGCCTGCGCGTATAAACTTCTGTTAGCAAAGGCAAAAAGACCGCACTGAAGGGGGAGCTGGGGTTCTCGGGTTGTTGACGTCACGACATCTGTCCGCAGAGTTCTCCTTCGTGTGGATACCCCGGTATTCACACGAGGGAAAAATCCCGGGGATCTCCCTACGGCACGCGCATCCTGCGACGAAAACGTCAGGCTTTGCGATGTGCAAAAGCCTCGCGTTTTCGTATCGGGATATGCGCGCGCCGGGGAGGCAATTTCCGGGGTTTCTCCCTCTTGTGAATACCGGCCACACGAAGGAGAACTCCGCGGACGGATGTCGTGACGTTAAAACAACCGGGAAAACTCCGTCCTCGGCTCCACCGCCCACCTGCGGAGCTCTCGTGCTAACAGTACGAAGCCTCCGCGCCTCCGCCACGGAGGAGAACGGCGCTGCGAGGTATCAAAAAGGGATGACGTACGTCTCACGTGATACACGCTCCGTGGAGGAAAATGGCGGATTTTTCCTTCGTGTGGATACCCCATTAAAGGTGAACGGAGTATAGTGGAAGGCAAAGGGCTGGTGCTGCGGCGGTGTTTTTACAGAGTTCTTAGCCTGTTACCTACTATAGAGTATTCAAAGTCAGTGCATTATAATGTTGATGCAATCATACAGCATACAAACACTGTTAAACACTTTAAACGGCGTGCAAAAAAAAAGATCATGTTCTCATGTTATCTTGCTGCAATTTACAACAGAGGTGCAAGCAGATGGTAAAATTTTACAGTAAAAAAAAGATCTCAACTAACATCGTTAAAGAAAAATGAAAGTCGTTTACAGATCGCTGTAATGCGAAATTAGAGCGCAGCTTTTTAGGAGGAGGAGAGGAGGGTACGAAGGGGAAGGCATGGAGGAGGACGGGAGGGTACGGAGGGGAAAGAGGGAAGGTACTCCATACCTTCCCCCTCCGTACCCTCTCCTCCTCTTCCCGCGTACCCTCCCCTCCCGTTGCTCCTCCTCCTCCGTATCCTCCCCTGCTCCTCTTCCGTGTCCTCCTCCTGCTCACCGTCCCTGCCTCCTCCTTCGTACCCTTTCCTCCTCCTTCGTACCCTTTCCTCTTCCTTCTCGTTACCCTCCCCTACTCCTCTCCATTCCCTCTTCCATAGCTTCTCCTCCTCCATCGTACCCTCCTCCTCCATTCCCTCCCCTCCTCCTCCATGACTTCTTTTCCTCCTCCTCCGTACCCTCCGCTCCTCCTCCAGTTACGCCGACGCCCCAAAACACGGGAACGAACGCCTAAGAGCTGCGCTCGAAACAGAATCCTGTTTTGGTCATATTTACGCCACCAATCCGCAGACGATGCCGTGGCCTCCGAGATCCCGAAGCGCGCGCGCGTCGGACCTCAGAGGCCATGACAATGCAGGCGTAGCGCGAAGTGCTGCCGACAGATGGTGTACGCCGCGTCGAGGGAGTCGGTGACAGGTTAAGAGTTTCATAGAGCGTAACCTCTATGAAAATATGCCTAACCTTGCCTACTCTTTCTTTACGCGAAAGCCTTATCGTTTATGTTTAATTCAGAAAATATTTGTCTGAAATAAATCCTACCATCCTACAATGATCACATACATAAAATCGAAATTTCACAGTGCCACACTACCTACCTACGTCTGCTAACTCGAATCACTTTTCCACATCTATCGCCAAAATTGTTAATCCTGTTGATTTTTTTAAACTGCTGTACCCGTACTAGAACTTGATTCGTCATTTGAGTGTTTCATTAACTTGTACGTTGTAATCCCACCCCCTCTGTAACGCCTTCGGGCCCTGAGGGTACCAATAAATAAATGAATGAAATGAAATGAAAGTGGAGGCTCTTCCCACCACTTTCCACTTTGGCAGGGTGAACCCTGGAAAGTAGGTCGCCTCCTCTCCACCATTCGTTCTGCTAAAGTGGCAAGACATGGGAGGAGCTTACCCTGAACTATTATATTAACCTGTCAGCGACTATAATATTTGGTGTGTTTCGGGCAGCCCTTGGCAACACAGTTGAAACTTCCGAGTCGAACTGAAGTGCCGAGCCCACCTTCCTCACGCCCAGAGATTCCAGATCGGACGCCGTTCTCGAAGCACTGTCGGAGAGACGAGCGGCTCCTCCGCCACGGGAGGATTCGCCGGGCCCAGCCGGGAGCCGAGGCGGGGGAGGAACGGCAGGGTCCTGCGGCGGGACCGCGACCGGGGCCACAGGAGTACCCGGCCTCCTCGACCCTTCCTGGTAGATCTTCCGGCTGAGCCTGCAGGGCGGCACCGAGACGAAAGAGGACTTCGCAATACGTACTCCGCGTTGGCCTTCTTTTAGGGTGACGCCGAACATTTAGAGCTCTGTTATCTAAACACTTAAGAATCTAGAGCGCCTACGTTCACGCAAAACACTTGGGAGAGCGAGTCTCTGCGATCTACATGGGGAACTTGACGAGGCTGTGAACGCGCGTATGTTCAGAAAGCGACAAAGAAAGAAAAAAAAAACAGAGGTCTGCCCTTTATGGCACTGGGCAGTGTGAATCGTCATGCTCGGTGCGGTAGCGCAGACCGTATTTCCTTACGTCTCAACATAATTTAAGCTTCGTCATTCGCCGAGGTTTTCTCGCAGATGCCCCAGGCTTCTTAGAGGGTATGTAGTCACTGATAGAGCGAGAACGGCTGTGCGTGTCTTTCGAGCGCCCGGCCACCTGCACGCGCTGTTCCTTCTGCCTTGCTTTGGCTGCGCGCGCGCGCACGCGAGGTGCACGAGTTGTTTGAAGCATTGTCAAAGGTGGAAGGAGTCGCGCCAGAAGCGGGACGACTCCTCCCTGCCTTCTTATTTTGTCAGCTACGATAGATAATTATTAAGCTACTCATCACAAATTTTCGGGTATCTGGCCTCTAACGTTCTCCGCTAAATTTAACGAAAAATTTACTTCACGTGACCAATGCACCAATGCAGTTTCCCTGCTAAATTTGGCGGAAAAATTGATGTCGCGTGGCCTATGCACCAATTCAGTTTCCCCGCTAAATTTGACGGGAAACTTGACGAAACCTGACCTGACGTCATGGGACATAAAAATAAATTCAGATTTTCCTTTAAATTTAGCGAGGAACCTGAATTGAAAAACATGACGAATGCTATCGCAATTCATAGACAACTAACAATAGTGGTTTCTGCAGGTTTTTTTATTCATACTTCCCTTCCCGAAGTGCAATGACCAAAAATGTCAAAGTTTTCTTGGAGAGATATAGATATATAAACAACGTTTACAACAACACGTTCGCTCGTTAAATTTTTTTGCAGAAACCGGACCCGCCAATTCGCAGCTTGCTGAACCCCGAAACACGTAATTCGAGTTTAAAAACAAAACAAAAAAAAACCAACGACAATGTAAAAAGTTGACGGTCAATGTCGACGAGCATCGAGATTCCAGAGACTCTAATTGCCTGTTGGCTAAGTATGCAACTCACTCCTTGAATGGGCTCGGATACCGCCTTATCCATGGATGACGGATCACTCGTCCCATGCTCGCCCGTAGCCCGATCACAGGTTCGAGCATGCAGCGGATGAGGTTTTTTAGCTCGTTGCTCAACGGAAGCACCTGCGTAGTCAAGCGCCGCCTTAAAGAGCCACTGACTGACCCAACATCGTTTTTTTTTTTTTTTAATTATTATTGTTGCAACTTAAGTAGCACACTTCCTCGGCCCAGGCTTGGGTCAGACAGGCGCGAGCTAGAGACAACGTCGGTCAAGCCTGGCACAAGCTTGCGCCAAACTGGCCCAAGTATCAGCCAGTTAAGTGTAAGTTAAGTGTGCTGTTAAGGAAGCGACTAGAAATAATTCGTAGACATCATCCTAAAAACAGGTTATTGGAGGAGAAAAAAAAAATAATTTCGAAGAGTCAGTTTCGTAACTCCCGTCTGCAGATGGAAAAATGGCGCACTCCTTGGCTTCTCAGATGACTTCAGATTGGAAATGTCGTTTAACTTTCTCTCTTTCCCCCTCATTAATCGAGGCCCTCACCGCGCTTGCTTTGCACTGCACTTGCCATGTGTCCCTTATCTCCGTGCAAAGTACGCGTCACTTTTCAGTTCGAGTTTCTTTTTTGAGCAGTGTCTCACTTGTTCTGCCTAAATGCTTTTTTTAAAAAGAAAAAGAGAAAGCCGACGTGTTGCAGACTTAGGTGAGCGACGTGATCCGTGGCTCTTTTGTACACGAGATCTTTGTTGCTACAATAGCGCCCAACGAGCTGAAAGCGTCAGTAGTAGCGCTCTCGCTGACATAGACATTATGGCTCCGGTGGAGCGCTGTCATCAACTTTAATCTAACATTTACGCAGTAGTTATTTCTCCTGACGTTACAGCAACATGCTTTGACATTGTAAAACGCTACGCGCAATAGACTGCGTACGTATTATCGCCATGCAGCTGCAATCATTTCGTCAAGCCCAGTGCCTGTGGGTACTTGTTCTCGACACCCCTGCGTTGCCAGTCTCTTCATCTGATATGAATAGGTCCCACATCAAGGAACTCCAAGTAATATCTATCACCTAATATATATATATATATATATACCTGCGCTTTAAGCAAGCGAGTCCTACAAACCTCACAGAGGCAGCTCAAGCTCTTAGCGAAACTAGACTCCAACTTTGTAAGCTTCTAAGGCGTTATTTTTTAATACTGGGAAAACAAATTGAGGTAAAATAGAAGATTTTCTATAGAGACATAAATCGACTATTGCCACGCGCTTCTTCAGTCGCTGCTTCACGTATCGAGAAAGCCACCTGTGTTGGCAAGCTTCAAGAGGCTATCGCCGCATACTGTTCCGCTCGGAACGGACCGGCCCGCACCTTGGGGAAGCGAACGACGCGCGTCATCTGGAGCCTGAGCTGTCTGGGCAGGTTGCCGCTCTCGAAGGGCAGGTCTCCCGTAACCATGACGTAGAGGATGACGCCCAGGCTCCACATGTCCTCCCGCTTGGGCAGGTAGCGGATACCTTGCAGGATCTCGGGCGCCGCGTACGCCTCGCTGCCGCAGAACGTGGCGCTCAGCTCTTTTTTCTTGGTCGCCGCGCTCGCTGCGGAAAGAGAACGAGTTTGAAGGCAACGAGAGCAGCATCCCATCTCGACGATGGTGAAGCATAAGGAACTGTGAAAGAAGGAAGAGGTGTCTGAACAAAGTCAGCCAAGGCGATAAAAGTTCGGTAGAGCTTGGCGCATTTCCCGGCAGGGGCACTGTCGGTTTAGTTGCCATCGCACAGGCGCGGTCGCGCTAGAGCTCCTTCGGAGCAGAGTAGCGCAATCTAGAACGCCGTCTCTCGGCGACTAGCGGCGAACGCCCGGGGGTTCCAACTCCGGCCAGAAATGCATGGGGAACGGGAGAAAATCGCTGCTTCTTGATTATTTTGGGGATCTATGGAACGACAATAGTTTTTGACATAATAAGGAAATAGTTTACAATAATTTGCGCTAAGTTGTGCGCCATTAAATAACTGAATATTTTTTTTTTTTTTAAATTGCCCGAGGAGCGTCATGCAGCAGACGACGCGGCGACGTCACACCGTTCACGTGACCCGCTCCGGCCAATCCATAAAGTCCATCTCCGTTGCGTAAAACAATCGTCTGCTTCAAACGCCATTGCTTTGAAAATTGCCTTCGCAACATTTTCACACGCATCCAATATTATTAAAACTTGGATAAAGTGTTTAGTGCTTTACCAACTTCACGACAGACTAGTTTCAAAAAGTGTGAACTTGGCGTTTATTTTTTAATCAGCCGTGTTGAGTCGATCTCCATGTATTCTCCCATAGGGCGGGCCGCCTCCTGGAGCCCTGAGCACCACGTGACTCGCGCCGAGCTGCTCGGTCGGCCATGTTGTCGGCGAAACACGCGGATCAAAGGATTGCGCTACTCTGCTCCGTGGGAGCTATATAGTGCTCTAGGTCGCGCGACCCTGAAATCGTGTGCACGAACAGACGGTCTCTCAGGCCCCTAGTAATGTTGCGCATTTCACGTCGTCGGCCAGACATGCGAGCGGAGTTTCGACACACTTGTTCCACGGCGAAGCGGTGTCCCGTTCGGACAACTTTATCTTCCTCGACCGTGGTATATAGGTCGATATAGATATAGACGACGTAGCGAAAGCATAGATGAAGCGATGATGTGTGTGCAGAGATGATGTGGATATAGCGAAAGTAGGCAGAAGTAGGCTTCGACTACTGGTTCGAGTATTTTAGGTGCTGACATGGCGAAGATACGTGTATATTGTTGTTGTTGTTGTTGTTGTTTTAAACACACTCACAGACACACAGATTTCCCTACACACTCCAAGAAGTCTCTATAGATGTATACTTCTGGCAAGACCTCCTGTCTTTTGCCTCATCTTAACTTCGAGCACAGCCCAGGCTACGATCTGATTAATGCCAACCAAGCCGCGCCGAAAATGCAACGTCATGATGTTCGTTGTTTTTTTGTGTGTCTGATATCCCCAACCAGACAAACCACGCGTAGATTGCGCACTGAATTTGCTATTTTGGTATACGTATGTTTATGTTTATGCTTTTCTAGCTTTTAACTTTCACACATTTGCAACCGAGTAGGACGGAGAGAGATAAGACCGGTTTTAAGCCTCTTGCGACGTCTTAGAACCGCGTGCGCTGCTGCGGAGCTGGTCTTAATATGTCGCAAGAGGCTTAAAAACCGGTCTGGTCTTTCTTGGTCGTTCTCGGTTACAAGTGTATGAACGAGCTTTTATGGTCAAACGAAGTTTAAATAGGAAGGCCATAGTGCTGTATTTTCTTCGTCAGATATCGGCGCAAAACGCTGATTGGACGCGAGTGCAGCGTCAGTGTTCGGCTGGGGTTCGTGTCCAATCAGTGAGGACACTAATCCGAGCCGAACGCTGACACGGCATTTGTGACCAATCTGCGCCCAGCGTTAGCGACCGGTATGACATCAAACATTTAGCACCATGACCTTGTCATTGAAGAGCGAGGTGTTGATACTGTACCGCAGTGAACCCAGAACTAGTCATTGGTAGTTCTTTTAATTTGGTGAACCAACGAGGAGCGATCGATTATTATGTTCCAATAGCCTTCTCAGAGACAAAAGCGGGCAGACGGCGGTATTTGTCACTGAAACAACAAAAACAAATCAACCCGTTTCGTTTCTTCATAAGGTAGGACATTTATACGACCATTGGGGTTCGATATTGCGCGCCTTTCTCATTGGCTAAACTGACCACAGGTAGGACGACGATTGCGGATCCGAGTGCGCTGCGGAACGTCCTCCTATCAAACCGCCCAAAGTTGTAGCATTTAGAGCGCAGCTCTTAGGCGCCCGTTTCCGGCTTAAGCAGCGTCGGCGTTGGCGTAACCGCGCGGTGCATGATGGGTAAATTTCTCCGCTAAATTTAGCGGAAAAGTTTCCCCGCCAAATTTAGCGGGAAAAAAATTCCCTGCTAAATTTAGCGGAAAAAAAATTCCCCACAAGATCTAGCGGAAAAATTTCCCCGCTAAATTTAGCAGAAAATTTTCTCCGCTAAGTTTAGCAGAAAACATTCCCCGCTAAATTAAGGAAAAAGTTTTCCCGCCAAATTTAGAGGAAAATTTTCCCCGCCAAATTTAGCGGAAGATTTTCCCCTAAATGGGAGGCGAGCAGGAGAGGAGGAGGGGCATAGCTCCCTCTCCGTACCTTCCCCTCCTCCTGCTCCTCAAGAGCTGCACTTTAATTCGGCGTTAAAGGGAGTTGAAACGGCTTTCATGTTTTTTTTTGTTTTTTTTTACCACAGTTTTTACATAATTTTTACTGCAGCTTTCTTTCAGCTTGTGTAGACTCTGACGTATTATCGACCGATTGCCGGATGCATGCTTTCTTCATTTTATATCTGTATATAGCGTTTTGGGTTCGCTTTGCTGGTTCTCTCAAATGTCTTCATCCAGTTTTTATATGTGAGTCACGGGTTGTCTCAAAGTTCGAAATAAGAAAAATATCGCTTCGTTTCTTTTTTTTTTTTTTTTTTTTTTGTTCACGGCTATTATTTGATTGGCGCACTCACTGCAGTATCGGCTGAAGCTGAAGTCTGTGAGCTTGACCACGTCGAGGGTGGTGAGCAGCACGTTCTCGCACTTGAGGTCCCGGTGGGCGATGTCGTTCTTGTGCAGGTACGCCAAAGCGCTGGCCAGCTGCATGAAGTAGACGTGCGTCGTCCTCTCGTCCAGCCGCCGCACCCTCTGCGAGAAATTCGGGTTCCCCCGGCTTCCAAATGCGAGAGGACTAACACATTCCGTCCGACCGCAATCATCGCTACATTCTGATGGAGCCAATTGAGCAGCGCTAAAAAGTGCTTTGTCACGCGTTCGCCGTTTTTTTGGGGTTTGCTATCCTCAACCTACACCAATCACGCACATTAAATGCCCCATGAATGAATGGCTGGATGAATGTTAATGGCTATACCCTTTGTAATTCGAACGGTAGCTTGCGCCACTCAACGTAAAACATAATCCTGTGTGTTCTTTGTGTGTTTTTTTGCGTAACTGGCTTAGCCGTTAATAGTCAACGCAAGCAGAGGACGAGCACCCATGACGATGCACTTTTGTTTGGCGCTGCTTGATTGACTCCCGCCCAATCGTAGCGCCGGTTGCGTTCGGACTTAGTGTAAAACAAAATGTAACTTGTAAAAGAAAAAAAAAAAAAAAGGTCAGTTTTTTTTTTACCTTTCAAATTATTTTTTTTCAGGCGTACACTGTTTGAGCTTCTTAAGACAAGAAAAAAATATATTGGCTAACAGTTCGCAAGAGCATTTCTTAACACAAAAAAAACTTAATAAAGCTCACAATAAAAAAAAATTACGACAGGGACAATGTTAAGTAATATTTACATTGTAAAGTAAATACCTGTTTTATGCATAGCGCAGCGCGACCGGTGTCAGCCACTTGGGCGCCTTTTAAAAGCAGCTAATCTTTTCCGATGAAGTAAAGAATGAAGAAAAAAAAATAATTCAGGAGTATTTTCAAAATTTCACAGCTAAAACTATACTTCTGGAACGTAAGTAAAAATACCCAAGTTGCAACAAAACAAAACAAAAAAGTCTCTAAGTATAGTCAAATAGGAGGCCAGAATGCCTCACGGTCTTTTCAAACCTCCTTGGCAAAACAATGACTACAAAGATTGCAGTCATCATGCCTGTATCTTCTCGAGTAGGTCGCCTCCGCCAGCCAGCTCCATGATGATGAAGACCTTTTTGGGCTCCTCGATGATGGTGTAGATGCGGGCAATGTGCGGATGCCTCGTCGAGCCCAGGATCTTCAGCTCCCGAGGCAGGAATTTGGTCTGGTAGATGGACGACGTCAGCTCCTTGGACACGATCTTGCAGGCGTACGTGACGCCCTCCTTCATCACGCACCTGCCGAAAGTCATTAGCCAAAGCCTTATCATACACAGAACTCTGTAGCTCTCTCGCTTGTTTCTTCTTTTCGGTTTTGCGAAAGCGCTTTTTTCAGTGGCCGGTACTTTTGTGTGTTTGACGCGCGCTTGCCTCGCTCGCCCATATGGAGAACTTGAGCGGTTCGCACTGTTTCCGTGACATGTTAAAGTGCAAAAGTGCTGTTTATAAAAGGTCATGTCCTACTGTAATTATGAAGTTGACTGGAACCACTAAATGAGCTACGCTTTGAGTATTGGCACTCTGTTCACCGGTAAGCGCCGCCATCTTGGTGCTTATGGCAGAGCAGACGCAACTCCCGATCGTAATGATTCAAAAGTGCGGCTTCCTCAGCATTATATTCGGTGTTAGGAGGCTCTTGTAATAATGTTTTGCTTTATCGCGAACTGTTGAAACATTTGTGGAGATCGGAAAAGCCTTTCCTGTGATTTTAGATAAAGCTCCAGAGGACTTGCAACCATGTATTTAAGACCCAGGAAGAGTAAGTGTTGTTAGCCTGTAGCGTAGCTTATTTAGTGGCTCTAAAGTGGCCTTTGGAGATGTTTAGAAAAGGAGGCCCCAACGGTTCCGCCTAGTAGCTTGGGGCATATCACTGCGTATGCGCAGAAGTTCTTGCCAGTCGCAATGGGACGCCTCAAACTTCTTGGGGAACTCAAAGCATTAAGGCGACCTATTCTAAAACTCCCATTTACCGAGGCCTCCTTGCAAGAAGACTTGAAAGGCGGCGTCATACTTTCGTTCCGTGCGCTGCCATTCATACAGGTGCCTCAGCAAATGGGTGGTGCTTGAAAAGTCACCCGTGTTTTGACTACGGTTGCATGTTATTAAACGGATCTGTTTCAAACGGCACAAAATGTCGTCAGCTGCAATTGTTTGTTGATTCGTAAATGTATCGCGAGTATTATCGTAGCTATATTAATTTCCCCAAACGAAGGCCCTGCCATGTAATAAATAAAGAATTCACCTTTTTTTTATCTTCTTCTTTTTTTTCTTTTTTTTTTACCGGCACACGAAGAAGCACGCGCAGATTGCGGGCAGCTCCGATTGCCAGTACGTGACAGAAAGCCTAGGCTTAAGAGATGGGGAGCGTTCGCAGTTTAATGGCGGACACCTCCTGCGGCGATGGCTCGAAAGTGCGCATGCGCTGCATTTTCTTGTGGCGGGGAGGAAAGCAGGAAGAAAGGCAAAAACGTTTGCAGACGATCAGCGCTGAAGGGACTGCATTCAATGGAGGGACTGCGTCACTGGGGGAACTGCATTCTGCAGGCTCTCGATGTCATGAACCGACCAAGAAATAAATAGGACCCGTACGCGAAGATCTAAAAGTAAAAAGACTCCATGTGTCTTACAGTGGAATTGCCGAACCTTCCGACAAAAGCCAGCAGAATTCAAAAAAGGACTGGATAAAATGGGTGACAACAAACGGCTGATCATCCTGCTGCAAGAAACAAAAGCAGACTCAATCAAAATTAGAGGTTAAAACACGTATACGCAAATCACCGCCAAGACCGACCGTGATACATCAGAGAACCCCATGCCTGCTGATAGCAACGCTGACAGCCAAGGATATCTCCCAGGCACAACTCAACACGCAACATCTCTGCAACAACGCGCAGGAAGTCGTGGGCGTCAAAGTACGAATAGGGGATAAGGACTCTAGAATCTTTAATACCAATACCAGACCGCACAGACGGGAAGGAAATAACATGTCATGGCTAGATGACGTGAAACACGGCAATATGCCTACACTGGTGGTCGGCGACTTCAATGCCCAACACACAACGTGGGACTATAAGCGAGAAAACCAACGCGGAAGAAGCCTAACAGCGAGTGCAAACAGCTAGGGCTTCTTCTTAGGAATGAGCCCGACCCACCAACCAGACTAGGACTCAACCCAAGGGAATCGGATACAACACCGGACTTAACATGGACAACCAAGACCCTAAGGGTGACCTGGCACACAAAGCCGGACCCCATGGGAAGCGACCACTTTCCCATTAGTATTAAATTGCACATCAGTTTTGGTGCGAGAAAGAGGTCCACTTTATTAGATGGGATAGGTTCCGAACGCTGCTAGCAGAGAGCAGCACAGACGACCTCACACGCTGAATACAGTTGGCCATGGCCGGCGCAAAAGAAGAGTACCAAGTGCGAGAAGACGCACCCGCGCCAGACCTACATCTACTTAACCTATGAGCCAGCCGGCTTCAAGCCCTACAACTGTACAGAAAAAAGAAACGAGACAAAAAACTCAAAATCAAGCTCAATCTTGCTACGGCTCAAGCAAAAGCTACACACTGGAGGTCGGCTAAAATGGTAAACGCACTGTGGATCCTTCAACGAGAAGACAGGGCTCAGAAACACCCGGCGCACGTGCACAGGGATGTGCGGAAAGGCTAAAAGCAAAGGGATGGGAGCCAACCTGGCTCTCAAACATGGAATATCAAAAGCTGAGTTAGCAATTCAAGCCGGAAACAGCTTCTTCCCGCAGCTCCTGGAAACACAAAGCAGACTTGCGCCCTATGCAAACAGGATTTAGGCAAGGCCTCTCAACGCACGACAGCTTGGCCATGATACACCGAGACATAACATCTACTCCCCCCAAAAAGGACAACCTTATACCATCGTGGCAGTTGACATTAAAAAGACATTTGATTCCATACCGCATGAAACGGTCATAAAAGTGGCCGAGAAAAGGGGCATCCGAGGCAGACTGCTGAATTTTTATAAATTCCTTCTTGCAGGACAGGACTTACAGCGTTCACATGGGCAGCACCAATGGACCGATCTCAAATAATGCGATTGGAGTAGCCCCGGGCACCGTTATCTCCCCCACGTTGTTCAACATGGCCGTGACGGACATCGCTTTAGCACTGGAAAGAAAAGCGGCAGAAGTAAGTTTCACAATCTACGCCGACAATATTAGTATCTGTACGGCAACAAGGGAAGCTAAAACCCAAGAGGAACACTTGCAAAAAGCGCTTGGCATCACCGTTGGGTTCCTTAAGGAAACCGGGATGAAGATCTCGGTCGAAATGACCAACTATGTGGTTGCTGCAAGCAAAAAAGCCAGGCAGCAGAACATCGGGGATACCATCTGCCTGCACATTGAAGGAACGAGGGTCGAGAGAAAGTCCAGCATAAAAATTCTTGGACTAACCTTTGATGAAACCGGAGGCGTTCATAACTAGGTAAAACAAACACAATCTCAATGGAAACAGGGACTCACTTTTATAAGGAGAACGACTAACAAGGCGTGGGGAGCAAACGAGAGGGCCTTGAAGAATATGATACGAGTGCTGCTCATTTCCTCCGGCTAACAAAAACCCAGATAAGAAAGTTAGAGATACTTAACCATTCAGCCATTAAGGTGGTTACTGGGTTGCCCGAGTATACCAGACTTACGGATTTAAGAAGCGCCGCTCAGATGAACTCCCTCGAGGATATCGCAAACGAAGTGAGAAGAAGTCAACTCGATGAACTGGAAAGATCACCCGCCGATCTTATCATCCTCCAAATGCTCCAAAAGACACCGCAACAAAGCCTCCATATCGCACCACCGAACGCTCCCTGGGAGGATAAGGCGGTAGTGAACCTGAAATCCACACCGAAGAATCAAAACAGGACCCAACCAAAACGCAGTGAAAGCAAAGCAAAACGCCACAGGAGAGAAGTGAAGGCAATTCTTAAACAGGGAACCACGGAAGTAATTTGCACCGACGCCGCGGGGAACGAGGACGGAACCACGGCCATAGCAATGCACTCAACTGGCACCGGCGAATCAAAAAGCAAATATCTGCTCAATAGCAGCAGCACGAAAACTGCTGAACTATTGGCCGTACTCTGGGCCCTTGAAGATCAGGTTCAGTACAGTCCAGCCGCACACATGTACGTATATACGGACTCTAGCGAAGCAGTCAAGGCGTGCAGAAGGATAGGCTGTAGGAATAAGATTGCGAAAGAAATTAAACGTACAGCTAAGATCCTTCGCCTAAAGGAGGCAGTTCGCACATCGCATGAAACCCGGGACACCAGGGAATCCCGGGAAGCAAGGAGGCCCACGAGACTGCGTGGATTGAGCCTCTCACGCTGCATTAGGTCTCGACGGCTCCCCCGTCACAACCCAACCAGGGGATCTGGACCTCGATGAATTGAAAGAGGCAAGTAGGACAGCTTGGAAACAACGACTGGCATTGCTGCTGCCAGAAGAAGCTTACCCTTTTCCATCCAATTACTCAAGATGGGAGAGGGTACGCATTCGGCGCATCGCCACCAACACAGCCCTAACGCCTGTGCCGAGAAGGAAATTTTTGTAGGTCACACGAAGACGACGACCCTGATCTCGACCTTAACTGCAAGACTTTCAAAACCCCGGCTACTTGTAAACATCAAATATGGGACTGCGAAACAAACAAACCACTAAGAAAACACAAACAAGATCAAGATCTTGGGGTCTCTACTCACCTACCTTAAGGCAGTGAACTTCACACACCTCATCTAATACCCCTCCCCCCTCCTCCTCACCCGCTTCATCTCTTCCTAATCATCCCGTCACACCAGATGACTTCAGTCAAGAGGTGTGGCAGAACCCAATCATTTTAATAAACCTTTTCTGATCTGATCTTTCGTCACCTCCTCGAAGCTGGTATTGCAAACAGGGCCGATAAACCACGTGACCGAGCAGTAGTAAGCTCTCTAGTACGTTATGATCCATGCAAACTTGGAGATAGCGTCTGAAAAATGCCACAGTTGCGTCTCCATGCGGAAAATTCATCGTCTGTCAAATTTTGCGTTTGCTTCAATTATTAAGCAGGTGTCGCTGCTGTCCCATTCTACATCTCCAACTTCCTCTGCACTGAGGTTTTTTGTTTACTAATAGTGGCTACGTTGTAGAGACTGAAACTTGCAGAGATAGACATCATGATACATTTCTGATTCTCTCATTAATTGCAGGTGGCTACAATGGTGTATTGGTCACTTGAAATGTGTTCAGTTTATAGCCTATGCCCTCTCTAATCTGTTTGAATAAAACAGAGTGCAGCTGAAGATAGTAGGACGTACTTGACGGTGGAATACGAGCCTGCCCCGAGCGTTTTGCCGACGGAGTAGCCGTGCTGGGCGAGCGAGGCCCTCGAGTTCTCAGCCTCCTCGGGGCCCTCATCGTCGCTGGAACCCATCCCCGAGCTCCCATTCTTCTTCTTCGTCTTCTCAAAATTTCTGCTCTCGATTCGTCGAATACGAGTGCATTGGTGCGAAAAAGGGACCGGTGGTGTTAGCGCACCACAGCTCACAGCACGCGGAGCTAAAGCTCGCGCTTCAAATTTTGAGAAATGACATTGAAAAACTGGGGCTTTGGCAGTCCAGCTTTTTGCGACCGCGCCTCCGGGTTCGGTTAAAACGCGAATAGTGACGGAACTTCGAACGCACTAACCGGCGCAGTTTCGAAGCTTGGGTTGTGCTAAGCGAGATTCAAACACATCATAGTAGGAGGCACACCCTCGGAGCACCCTACTCTCCACCCCGCAATTTCCACACCACCTGGAAAACAAGGCTGTAGTGCTGATATTTCTGAGTTAGCAGAAAAGGCCAACGTTGGACACAGATTTGAAACGAGTACTGCGCCAGTGCTCGGCTCCGACTAAAGTTTGAGCCGAATGTTGATGCAATCGTCGTATCCAATCATGAGCCAGTGTTGGCCTTCGCTGATGACGACATCTCTATCAGTACTATGGATTTGTTATCTAGGAAGTGTTGGCAGTTTTTACAGCGGAGTGTTCCCATGCCTCAAGGTCCGCAAACTATGGAGACTTCGCGTTTTGGAGCAAAACGTCTTATAGCTGCAACTAAACAATATATCTAATAAAAGAATGGTTCCAAACTTTCAACTACCTTAATTTATTCTTCTTTCTCCCTCTCTTTTTCTCTGTCCTTTTTTTTTTGGGGGGGGGGGGGGGGGCAGATTTTTGCAGCATTATTTTCTTGATGCCTGAGTGTATACACGGATGAATCCGTGCACCAAGACGAGCTATCAACAAATTTCAAACGACTAGGCTTGCCCCTAGAAGACAGCAGGAGGCTAAGTTCCCTCGCAGTACTCAACGTAACAAGACCAAAGTAAGCTGAAAAGCTTTGTGGAACGCCTGGCGTCTTTTCGTGGCGTGTCCGCTCGATGGCACTCGCTACGCTGTCAGTCTGCCCTATGGAGAGAAGCGGCTGAACCAGAACCGTGTATAAAGAGAGTTTGGTCAATGGGAGGAGCAGGCAGAGCCAGGGCAGCATGCTCTCTTGGTCAAACAGAAGCCGAAAAGAATCCCCTAGCGGTGGTAACGAGAAACAGTTTTAATAAGAGCATAAGGGTTAAATGTAGTAACTCTTCATGGCTGAAATAAAGGTGCACGTGATGTTTCGATTATGATCATGCAAAAGGATGTAAGAAAATGATGTGCCGCTCGAACTCTTTTGCTCGAACAGAGTGGGACCGCTCGGACGACAGATTCCTGGCCCTCGGCGCCTGGCGTACGGATTATGTCGATCCTTCCGCAAGTCGCGCTCTTCTACCATGCTTTTGGATGACCGTGATTGAAACATCACGTGCACCATATTGTCAATCCCCAAGAGGTACTCCGACGCATATATTAATTTCGTTCCTCGCGACCATCGCCAGGATATTATTTCCGGCTTCCGGTTGGTCATATTCGAATTTCCGAAGACGCCCTGGAACATTCCCAGCCCGCTTTCGGCCAATGGCGCCTCCTTGTTTGCCTCCTATACTTTCCAATGAATGGCCAAACTCTCTCCATATACGGCTATGGGCTGAACCGAAGGAACATTGGATGTATATTGTCTGCGGTGGAAAGTGCTTTTATAGGTTTGTGGCACTCGGCCAGGGGGCACGAGCGTGTACACAAGACGCAACCACGTAATGTTGACTTCGGCGTCTGCAAGGCGCGACCATAAAGGTGGCGTTATATCACTCGATCATAAACGAACATAGACACGAGCTATGTTCGAACGCTAGCGTCTGTCGGCGTCTGGTCACGCGCTTAAAGGAAAGCAAAATAATATCACGAAAAACGTACAGCTTGTGGCTTTAGCATCCTATCGAAACGCCAAGAATGCACTCCTTTTTGCTGTTTTGTTTATAGAAGAACTTGGACTAGTTTGTTGATATATGTTCTCTTTCATAGCGAATATCGGCAACTTGAGGGAGCGCAAGAACGCACTATCGAAACGCGATCTAAAGGTCTTTTGTTTTGCCCGCGAGGGGCGCTTTTCAAAACTTGAAAGCTACATACCTATTGTAGATTTTATGTTAAACATACAATTTTTCACAAAAGATTGAGAAAAAAATAACGCGTCGTTTGAATACTTTTTTTTTCTGTTGCCCGTGGATATTTTGCCGCTGGTGACGCTAGGAACGCTATCCGCCCATATCTGCTCGCTGGCAGGCAGCAGAGAAAAACCGTTTTCGAACGACGCTCTTCCATGGAACTCGTTAACCGATAAATCTAAAAACGCTGGAAATCCCCGCAAAAAAATATAATAATATTATTAGTAATATTAATAGTAAAAAATTGTTCGACCATCAATGCGAATCATTCGATGGAATTGCGTTAGCATTGGTTCTTTCTCACCCCTCGTCACCCCTTTCCACTTGCTTAGGACCTCTTGCCATTCGTTTATCCCCGATTTCATGTCGTTTATAACCCCTTTCCATTCGTTTATGACCCGTTCTCAATTTTTTTTTTCACTCCCTTTGTCACCTATGGAAAGAATCACATCCATCGCCGGAGCGGCACCTGAGCTGGGCCGTATTCCAAAGTGGCGCAGCGCCTGCTCGTCTCTGGCTCCGCGCCAGCTGTGCGACGCTCGTGTTGGACCGAAGCGCTGGCGCCAGCACGCGTCACCCTCTCCCTCTCTCTCTGCCACCGTGGTGAGACATGGAATCGTAAACACGATTGCTCCTCACCACCCCTCTCCTCGCGACGTCACGCATGACGCGGACAAACGGACGGTCGCACTGACACCGGCGGGTTTTCGTGAAAACGAGCGCTCTAATGTTAAGATGTTTTTTTGTGTTAGGTTTTTCGTGTCCTTATTTCCTACTTCGGTGGTGTGCTCAGCCTTAGAGGGATTTAGCCTGTGTGGCTGGGTATCACGAGCAGTCTTTGACAAGTCGCGTCCCTTTTTTATTCTTCTTTTTGTGTCTGAACATGTTGTATTCGCGTTCCTTGGTGAATAACCCAAATGTGTTTGAGACAACTAGCTTTAAAAGAAAACGCTAAGCAAAGGCAACTCGAGACTGTTTTCTGCGTTTAATACGCCCCTGTGTCTTCATAAATAAATTTAAAAAAAAGACAAAAAAGGCACGGAGGTTGTTATTGGAGGCCAATGAAACCCATTGTGCGCGTCCGCCGCTTGCTGCAGGCAACATTGGGCACCACAGTGATTGTAAGTACTCGTGAACGGCACATATAAAACGAATCCTTGTGAACTGTGCCGGAGTGCCGCTTGCCGCAGCGATTTTGGTCACGGAACCACAATACCTGAAACACGATTTCGGAGCACTCGCCATTGCTGCTAAAATTAAATATC